ATGTATTACAGGAAAATGCTAAGTGCTATGAAAAAAATTGAAGCAAGATAAATGGATTGAGAGCTGGAGGCAGTGGGAGGAGGAAAGAATTTTAGATAGGGTGACCATGGAAGGCTTTTCTGAGGAGGTGACATTTGAGCAGAGACCAGAGTAGGGTGAGCCATTGCATGTAGGGGGAAAAAAGTCCCAGGCAGTTGGAAACAGCCAGTGCAAAAGCTCTGTGGCAGGAGAGTACTTGGCATCCTTGGGGAACAGCTAAAAAGCCAATGAGCCTGGAGAACAAAGATGAGGTCCAAGGTTATGTAGAACCTTGTAACCATGGAAAGGATTTCAAAGTGCTTGAAGGACAAAGACGGGGTCACCATCACACCTTGTCTAGAAGGAACAGAAGCTCAATCACACATGCCCACCCCCATCAAAGCCTTGATTTTCATGCACTTAATAACAGCAGCTAGCAGCTGCTGAACACTTATTTCTCTGTGTCAGGCTTTGTGCTAATTGCTTTACATGCATGATTTTAACTCATTCTTACTAGAGGCCTACGAGGAAGGTGCTGTCATTTTCATTTTACAAATGAGGACATAGCCTCTAGGAGGTTCAATTCCTCTCCCAAATTCTCAGAGCCACTAAGGCTAGGGGTCCCCGGTCAGAACGAAACACAGGGGCTCTTCCTGCAAAACACTGTTTGAGCAGTGGAATATATGGGTGTGCACCCCTCTGAAACAATCTCTCTCTTTCCTTAATTGGCCCACTGAAATTTTTACACATAGTAAAGGAAGATTTATCTGTATGAGGCCATCCTAAATTTCAAATGCAGACACAGGAAGTCACCCTGAGAGACTGGGTCTTCTGCAATCCGACAATTTGCTTTAACAGCACATCAGCGAAACCCAAGATTTAAGTGAATCATGTTAAATAGGGAAAGTGTTGTCCCTGAGTCAGGGATGAGGCAGAGATGGAAGGGCTGCCAGACAGGGAATGGAGTGGGGAGCAAGGCCAGCAGGGATCTGAATCTGAGAGAGGCAGAAGTCATGCAAAGTGAGATCAAAGGTCAACAAAGGTGGGCAGGTATGAGCAGGCAAGAGCAGGTGTAAAGGGAGTTATTTCAGATGAGCACCAGGAACTTGGCTGGGGAGAGTAGGTGGGGAGCAAGAGAGACATACAGATTTATTCATTTAACTTTCATTGGTCTGGCGGACCTTCCCTGCAGATCTCTTTCTGGTGTTAAGTTGGGTGTGTTCATCGTGCATGGAATGGCTGTGTGGTGTTAGGTGGGGACAGATTTGGAATTCTAGTTTTGGGAAAAAGGGCAGCTGTGTATACTGAGCACCAAAGGTAGACTACAAAGAATATCTCTTGTTCTGACAATTTATCACCTCTTCCTCTTTTTTTCCTGGGTAATGAGGTCCACCTCATTTCTTAGCAAGTAGTTCAAATGGGAGCTGCCATCTTTTCTCACATGACCTTTTTAGTGTTCTAAGGATGGACACCTGGGCCAATCAGAGTTGAGCACCTGATCCACAATGGGCCAATCAGCATTGGCCATCTGACGAGGGGCAGGTTGTCTAGTAGCATCCATTCCTCTGCACTGGTTGGACAGGAACACTTGTGATTGTGAGAACCATTGATAATGGTTAATGGGTTAAATGATTAATTTAACCCCTCCAAACACATGGATGTAAATAATGAAGGGACAGATAATTCTGTGAGGAAAATATATGAGGAGATAATGACCAATTTCCAAATTTGGTGAATACAGGAGGAAGAAAATGCTTCCTAATCACAGTGAAGACTCAGACTTAGTAAAAGGGAATATAATAGGTAAGGAGCAGTCTAAATTGATCAGACAAATATAAACACAGTGACTCAAACAAGATGGCTGCTTACTTCTCTCCTCTAACAGACCGGGGGTAGGCTGGGTATGGACTGTTCTGCTCTGCTCCGCTCCACAAGGTTACTCAGGAGATCAGATTCCTTCTGTCTTGAGGTCCTGCCATCCCTAGAGTGATGCCTCCTGTTCAAAACTGTTCAAAACATCATCATACCCATGTTTCAGCTCCTAGGAAAGGGAAAGATGAAGTGGAGAGGAAGCAATGTTCCCATAAACATAAAAATCTAGAAGTTGCCCCACCACTTCTACTCAAATTCCACTTCTACTCAGATTCCAGCGGAATCTATCGGGAGAGTGAACACTAGGAACAGCTGGTCTGCCATAGGGCCCCCCTGGACCTGGCAGTACCTGTATACATCCTCCTTCCCACGCATAGAACCCACTTACCGCCTCCCTCGAAGCGCCACCCAGTCACTGCAGCCAGCTCCAAGAGCCAGATCTCGAGGTGGCACACAGTCTCCATCTTCAGCCCCAGATGTGGCCCTGCTGGTCCAGTGGCCCCAAAACTAAAAAGCAGTCATCTGTCCCCCACTTCACACCCACTCCCACAATATACAAAGTGGAGTAGGAATGAGTTAACAGTCATCAAATCTCCCATTAGGAAAAGAGAAAGCCAGGGACACAGCTGCCACCAGTCCACGCAGTCATCGAACCTGCTGGGCAGGAAGTGTGAAGATTCCGTGCCCTGGCATACACAACACCCCCCTTTCTGTTCTGGGGTAAGCACCTTGTCGCCTGTCCGCCGGGGCCCCTGGCTTGCCCTGTGGGAGCTTCCTGCCGACCATTACCATCCTTGGCCACACAAAGTGGGTTTTAGTGAGAGCGCCCTCCTCAGGCCACACGGCTCTCAGCTCACTTCTGATGATAGAGTTTCTATAGCGAGTGAACAATCATAGGCTTTTGTAGGTCGGGCTTGTGGCTTCCTTGGCCATCTAATTCTATCAAAAACTTAGAAACCTCCCTCAGTCTGTTTGCTTCCATTTGCTTTCATTCATACAGCAGGATCACACCCCAAAATCCTTCCTAAGCGTAGTTCTTAAGCCTGACAACTCTCCTTTTTTTACTAGCTGCCTCCCCAGCCTGGCCCATCCCTGCTGCCTCATTTTAATGGTGACTACCTCAGTAGGCTGGGTGAGAAAAGAGCCTATTAGTCAGACCTTTGCCACAGGGCTGATTGCCTTTGCCAGGCAGAAGAATCCTAATGGTAGCTAATGGTCACCTACCAGGTTATTGCCAGGTGGGGCTTTACCAAATAATCTGCCACAGAGTAGCAGCATCCATCAGCTTTCCACCTCACCAAGCCTGCATTCCTTCATTCACATAGCCCAGCTGTAAGCCAAGACCACATATTTTAGATTTTTTTTTTATTAAGGCTGCATCTCACTTTCAGCACAAATTTCTGTATTAGATACAGATTACATTGCTGTAATAAAAATCCCAAAATACAATGGATATTTGTGTGGCAGAATTCTCTTTTTCTCTCACATAACAGTTCAGGGTAGGTTGGTCCAGGGCAAATGGGCAACTCAGCTCTGCTCCATGAGTTGACCAGTATCCCACGTTCCTTCTGTCTCGTTTCTCCATCCCTATGGCCATAAACCACATGGTTAAAACAGTCTCTAGCCGAGTGGCCATGTGATCAGCTATATTGAAATAGGGATCACTTGTATTACTTAAAGCAAGAAGGAGAAAATGAGTACTGGGGAAAAATTAGTATCTCTGCCTCAGGGCGAAAGGCAAGCTACGAGGAGTCGCACAGACCATATTCCACATCCTGACAGCCACAGGAAAGCCCAGCTCCTCTGGCCATTTGTTCATGGCCTCACCTCCTTGGAAATGGAGAGCTTGCTAGCCGTTCTGGCTCTGCCGATCTCTTGTTCACTAGGAGCAGGACTTGCCCATTGTCCCCCAGGGACACTCCTGAGACAGACTCCGGGAGGACTCCCTTCCTGCAGGCTCTGCCCCCTTAGCATTCAACCTCCATCAGAGGCCTGTGAATTGCCTTAAGAATTGTACAGTCACAGACACCTTTGACAAAGCTTAGAAGTTTCCTTTTTTTTAAAGTTAGAATGTCGTTAATATACAATCTTATGTTGGTTTCAAATGTACATCACAGTGGTTCAACAGTCCCCACAATCAACTTACATTGCGATTGCGAATTTTTGTGCCCTTTTACTCCCTCCCTTTCTCTCCCCCCTCCTCTCTCCCTTGGGAACCACTAGTCACTTCTCAGTGTCTGTGAGTCTATTGCTGTTTTGTGCCTTCTGTTTTGCTTTGTTTTTATGTTCCACAAATAAGTGAAATCATACAGTATTTGCCTTTCTCCACCTGGCTTATTTCACTGAGCACAATACCCTCTAGATCCAACCATGTTGTTGGAAATGGCAGGATTTCTTTTCTTTTTATGGCCGAATAATATTCCGTCATGTATATGTACCACATCTTCTTTATCCATTCATCTATTGATGGACACTTAGTTTGCTTCCATATCTTGGCTATTGCAAATAGTGTGGCAATAAACATAGGCGTGCATATATCTTTTCAAATCAGGGGTTTTGTTTTCTTCAGGGAAATTCCTGGGAGTGGAGAAGTTTCTTGTTTGTTGGTTTGTTTGTTTTGACAGTTTGTTTTGCAACACAATTGACATAGAACCCTGGTTGAACTCTGATAGCTGGTAATCAGCCCCAGAAATTTTGCCCAGGCCCAATCTTTGAGTGAAGACCACCCTACCCCCACTGTGGCTACTGTCTCTTAGATTCAGGGCTTGGGGCTCTGCTTACCTTCTTAACCTCAACATCTCCTGCAGCCTCGAACTCTGCTGGGCAGGTAAGGCTGGGTTGATCTGCCTTTTTATGGTACCCCTGCTCCCAGGCTATGCTTTAAGGTAGAGGCGTTGGTTAAGTGATGAGAGTGGAAGCTTTGGGGAAGGGCCACTGCACCCACGGAGACACAGAGTCTCACAATGCACCCAGTCAAATTACCCCTTCCTCCACACCTTGTTGAGTGTACTGGTCCCTTCCTGCACTGGAATGGGGCAAACCTCTTACTCAACACATGCAACAGGAAGTGGTTCTGCCAGAAATACCACTGGGCTGTCCTCTCTTCTCAGGGTGCAATGTAGAAAATGCCTGCTACCCACTGGGCATCTGTGCTGAACGGACCGCTATCCAGAAGGCCATCTCAGAAGGGTACAAAGAATTCAAGGCAATTGCTATCGCCAGGTGAGTGGGAAAGGCAGGCTGCAGCAATATTCATTCATCTGTTCAGCCAACATCCACCACACACCCATTCATTCATCTCACATGTTTATTCTGCACCTCCTAAGTGCCAGGTACTGCAGGGCTGGGCTGAGTGCTAAGAATAAAGAGGTAAATAAGAAATGGACTCTGCCCTTAGGGAGCCTACAGAGCAGGTAAACAGTGATGGCAACACCAAGCCAGCCCAGAAAGGCAGCATGGAAACCTAAAAATCACCTTGTATAGACTCCCTGGCCACTACCCGCATTTTTCAGTAGAATAAACTGAAGCCCAGAGAGGTTGAGCAAGTTTCCTGGAAATTAGTGTCAAAGACAGGACAAAACTAGATCTCTAGAGTCACTCCAGAGCTCATTCCACTGCCCCATGCTGTGCCAGGAAGTCAAACACTCTTCCCTGCTCTCTTTGAGCTGAGCTAGGATCTTCACTGTGCGAGCTGACTACTGCACTCAGCATCGTTCGCCTCTCAGTGCCAAGAACCAGGACACTAAAACAAGCTGATGGGGTGAGAGCCGGGTAAACCCAGGTCATGGTTCAGACTAGCCAGAGTCCAGCCCAGGTTCTGGCTGAACAACAGCACTAATTAACTCTCTGTGCATGCTCCAGGCATATAAACCCAGGTTCCCATGTGCATGCCCTCAAAGGGAGCTCACTGAGTTCTTGCTGGCCCAGGACCCAGACTTGGTGGCTTCAGGATTGCAGTGTGAATGGGCTCTTTTACTAATTTGGGTGCCATTACACTTCTGATTTGATGATGATGGCTCTAGTGTGTACCTTTGCACTGTCACAGAGAGTTTGCTTAGCAAGTTAATGGTGCAGGGAAATGACGTGGGAAATCCTTAACCCACCCAGAAGGAGACTGCATGACTGACCACGTATCCATCTTTTGGGACACGTAGGTGCCCGGATTATGTACTAGGAGTGAATTATCTCTTCACTGTGGAGGCGCCGCAGGAACTTTTTGGCTGGGTTAGAAATGCAGGGACCTAGAGCAAGGCCAATGGAGAGCTGTGTGACACAAACAAGCCCCCATTTCTTTTATAAGATCCTACACTTTGCCTAGGTGTGGTCCCAAGGTGGACCAGGCTATTGAAGGTTTTTTTCCATAGTAACTGGAGCCAAAGGTGCAGTTATGGAGAAAGGCCCCCAGCTTCCAAGAGCCCTCCCAGTGACCAAGGTCTGTCCTGGCTCCCCTTCAGCTTTGGGAGGAATAAATGAGGCTGTGCTGAGAACATTTTGTGCAGATGAGCAGAAATCAGCCTGTGTATTATGCTTTATAAAAAGGGGGAGAAAAACTCAATCTCAAAGCTCATCCAAGAAAATAATGATATTCTGGAGGAAAAGAAGACAAAGTCAACAAAAGGATAATGGCACAGTAGCCTTGCTCTGTTTAGAATGTTCCAAATGAAAGGCTTTTTCTCTTGGTCATTATCTGCTTTTAAACATGACTGGGTATTGCTAGGGATGATTAGCAAACGTCCTTATTTACATAAAACCCACATTTTTCCAGCACCCAACTGCCCTACTCCAGTATTCAGCCTGCATTGGCATCGCTGAGCCAGGAATGCAATCATTATTGCACTAATGACTTGTTAAATTGAGAGTGTGGATTTAGAGAATGAATGGAAACTGCCAGCTCCCTTGTTAACATTGACGGGTGTGAACAGTCTAGGGGAGCCCCTTGGAGATCTGTAAGATGGCGAGTGCAGAGCCCGGGATGGGGTTTTGCTAATGGGGAGATAAGCTTATCCCGCTGGGGTCCCAGCTGTAGTCATCAAAGCCAATAGGTTTCCAGCCTGTCTAGTCTGATAAGCATGAGCTCAGTGTGTGACAGAGATCAGCAGAAACCACAGGAAACTGTCAATACCAGTGAAGGCAGGAGCAGTAAACGTCCTGCAGCACCCAGCACATTCTAGGATGCATCTACCAAGGTTTTAAGTCTTACTCTTGGCACAACATTGAGTAGTAAACTGGCTCCAGGGTCAGTGAGACCTGGTTTCAAATCCCACTCCACGATCCCCTCAGACACGTTGATTCAATGATCTGAATCTAGCTTTTCATCTGTAAGGTAGAGGAGAGTAACACCTACCCCTTGGGCTGTTGGGAGGATACAGGATATGGTTTCTGTAAAATTCCTGACACTGAGTATGCAGCAAATTGAAACTATTGTTTTAACGTTATTTTTCTTCCTTCTATAAACTGCAAAACTACCAGAGGGAGAGCCCACAGGTCCTGGGTTCAAATCCTGGTTCTGCCACTTACCAGCTTTGTGACCTTAGGCAGGTCATGTCACCTTTCATGATCTAGAACATGAGGATAATTAGAGTATTACCTTATAGGGTGATTAGAAGATTAATGAGTAGATACACATAGGCCCTTAGCACAGTGCCTAGCACAAGAAAATGCATCTAAGTGTAAGGCACCATTACCATCAGGCTGTCTCCCCATTCTTAGATATGCTACCTGGATGCACCATTTTGTGACTTTTGAACCCTAGGCCAAATCCAACTTCCCAGGGGAATGAATGCAGGTTCACCTGACCCCCTTGAAAACCCTAAGGCAGGTCAACTGTCCATTGGCCAATTGGCCATGCATGTCACTAAATTGGGAAAGGAAGTGGTGAGCTTGGCAGGGGCCAGATCATACCTGTATGATTGCAAGGCATGGAAGGGAGACTGGATTTCACCCCGAGCACCTCTCCCATGGTCTTAACAACAGTCTGCCTGTGTTACAGCATGTACAGGCATGCAGACTTTATCTCCCCTTCCAGATGCTAAGGTCCCTGGAGGCAGGGATTCCCTGACTGGTCTTTGTTGCTCCTTTCCCATGCCTGCCTGGCATAGAGCAAGCTCTGGTCAACGTGTGGGGAATGAAGTGAAAAATAACAGAGTCCAGCCTCCAAAGAGCTTTTGAGAGGCACTGGCTGTAACACCTGTCACCTGGTAATCGTAAGGGTTAATTTGGCCCAGTTCGCATCCTGGGTAGGAGTCCCCACCTCTTCATGCTCCCTTGGGCTTTGGTTCTGAGGCTGGAAGTGTGCTCAGAGAGGATCCACCTCTCCACAGCAGGACCTTTCTTTGACTGAACCCCCACATACAAGAGGGAGTTATAGCACCCCATCACTCTCTCCACTCAGCTGCTTTATGCAGTTCCTAACATCTGTCTCTACCTCCACTTGATACATGGTGGGTGGGTGGGTTGTCTGGCTCCTCTTACTGGTCAGAAACTCCCCAGTACAATGAACTGTATCTGTTTTGTTCACCCTGGCCCTGACAGTGCCTGGCACATAGTAGGTGCTCAGTAAGTGTTGGTTGATCAAAATGAGATAATACATGTAAGTGCTTTGCAAGATGACACATTCTAGGCACATATTAAATAACATGATAATCACTATTAATATACAATAATTTAATTGCAAAATAGCACATAGATCACATAGGAAGTAATGAAACTATATATGATAACTAAAACTATGACAGAGCTTATATCTGAAAGAGTAAGTGCCAGTAATTAACACAGGCAATAACAATATGTGTATAGAGCTCTAAAGTTCACAAAGCCATTCACACACCTTATCTCATTTTTATCCTCTAGTATCCGTACCTGTTATTCCCCACATTTTACAGGCAAAAAAAATAAGCGTTGGATAGGTTAAAAGGACTTGGTCAAAAGTCACACATAGTTAGTCAAAGGAGGAGCTGACCAAGATACAAAGTTTAATCCTGTGCTCCTCCAGAGAAACCACAGAGCTTTGGGTCTAGGAGAGCAAGGATGATGGTGGTGATTGGCTTAACCTCTGGCACTGCAGCAGACTTGAGGTTCTTATGGTTAAATTCACCTTGTTTAAACCCCATCGTTCATCCTGCTCAGAGCTGGAGGACGGCCTGTAGGTGTCTAAATTCTCAGAGGCAAACCCTCGGCTGTAAGCATCTCTTCTCCAAATTTCCTCAGATGCAAGGAGCTTGTTTTTCTCCTTGACTCACACATGTCTTATTCTTTCATGCCTCAGGACCTTTGCACACACTATTTCCTGCAACACAGAATAAATGGGGGCTTCAAAATAGCACCTCTGTTATTTCATCTCACTGAACCTGGTTTCTCACAGGTAAATGGTCATTCTGACATCAGATTTTACTGATAATTAATTGAAATGATGTATATCAAGTACCTGGTGCAGATCTTGATGCTCACTAATGGTGACTTAGGACTACATTGCCTCCAAAGACTGGGCCAAATGCAACATCCTCCATAAAATATTCTCCCTCACTCCACAGGCAGGGATTGTCCCCCTTCTTACTATGTGTTCTTAAAGCATTTTGCTTAAAATGATAACTTGCCTAGTATTCTATTTATCCACTGAGCAGAACAATGTCTTGAAAGCCAGAGACAAATTTTCCTTAACCTTGGTGTCCCTGGAGTCTAGAAGACAGACAATGAGTGCTCACAAGCCTATTGAACGCACTAATGAAAACAATGCCCCTGCCCACGGCCTTGCCTCTTGCAAGTGTGGAAAGCTGCCAAGCACTTCTTCCTAGCCTCAGGGACACAGTGTATCTGCGAATCAGGAATTGGGTGATAATATTTGACTTAATCTGGGGCTAGGCAGGAATTCAGGGCCTGAATCTTAGTTATTATCCTCATGCCTCAGGAGAGACTGATCCCTGTTTGATTCTCTCCTTCCCCAGTGACTTACAAGATGATTTTATCTCACCATGTGGGGCCTGCCGGCAAGTCATGAGAGAGGTAAGCAGCCTCTCTTTCTTTCTGGAATGTAAACCGGATGCCTTCCTTTCCCAGGCTGAGCTGCCAGCCAGGAGACACAACTGTCCAGTCTGCTGTGTTGGCTGACTTCTAAGGCCTTCTCATGCTTCCGTGAATCCCTGGAAATTATTCTTTCATTCAACAAATACTTACTGAATGAGTGTCTACTCTGTCTGAGGCACTGAGCTAGCTCTGGAGAGATAGCAGCAGAAGACAAGGGCTTCACAGAGTTTAAAGTCTGGCACAGGACACGATGAGCAGGGAGCAAAATCAGTTGAATTTTTGAGAATGATAAGGGCTATAGAGAAAAGAATGCAGAAGACTCAACAGTGATAGAAGGGGCAGCAGGCATACCCCAGATCAGGGTCAGAGGTCGGTAAACAAAGGCAGATGGACAGCAAATCCAGTCCTCCGCTGGCTTTTTAAAATAAAGTTTTATCGGCATGCAGTCATGCCCATTCCTTCCTGTATGTCTACAGCTGCTTCGGCCCTACAGCAGCAGAGTTGAGCAGTTACAACAAAGGCCATATGGCCATAGAGCCCAAATGTTTACTCTCTGGTGCTTCACAGGAAAAAGTTTGCCAACCCCTGCTTTAGATAGCCAGGAACGTTCTCTCTGAAGATGATATTTGAGCAGAGATATAAATAATGAGGAAAGAAGAGTCAGACAAAGGTCCAGAGGAGGAAATTTCCGGGTGGAGGGAGCAGCAAGCTCAATGCCCTTACACTTAGTGAGCCTGACAAGTCGCAAGAAGGCCAAAGAGGTTAGAACTTGGCGAATGCGGGGAAAGAGTGACAAGATGGGCCCTTATGGGCCTTTAGTCCGAGAATAAAGGGAATGGGATTGTACCCTTAAAAAACGGTTACAGTGGTAAATTTATACAAATTTTACCACTTTTTTTAAAAATTGGGGAAATAAAAAATAAAGGAAAGCCACTAGATGTTTCTAAGAAGGGACTTAGGGACCTGTTATACTTTTTACAAAGATCATCTTGATGGAAAGCCTCAGTTTCTTCAACTCTAAAAACAAAAGGGTGGATTCAATGAGTTCTTAATCCAGGTTCAGGGGAAGTTTTTCTGTGTGTGTGTACATTTAGGGAAGCGGGTATCGGTCACTTTTTTGGACTCTCAAAGAGGTCTGTGCCCTCCAGAGCCCCAGAAGTTAAAGCCCCCAGCTTGGGAAATCCCACAGGCTCTTGAGCTTTGATGTGACATCATCAGCCTGTGAGGATACGTGTGGGCCATTATCCCCATTCTCAGAGAAGGGAACTGACCTGCTGGGATGACAGCCATCCTGCCGGTGGTGACCAGCATTCGGAGCCAGGGCCCACTCACTGCAGAGCCCACGCTCCTTATGCCGCCCCCCTGCCTTTTATGGTTCTATAAATGGGACCAATTATCTTCAGCCATGGAGGAGACATAATGATGCTTTGATGAGTAGGGCCTGCTTATTCCTGGGGGGCTTCTGCTCTTGGAGTTAGTTGTTTAAGCACATGGCAAAGGGAGGTTGTTTCAGCTTTGCTTTTGTGTCTTGGGGTTTTCAAGTATCTGCTGAACATACAAACATCTCCATCTTCCTTCTGCTTCTTGCCAGAACTGCAAAGCAGACACAATTAGCAGAATTCATGTCCCAAATCCAGATGAAAAATGCTACCATAGAGGCATTGAATTCACAGTATGATCTTCATCTCACTTTAGGGAAGAAAAGGCCGCCCAGCACCGTGTACTTGTTCCAGTTGCTCAGTGCTGTTTTCTCCAAACAGTTTAGAGAGAAGGTGAATGAACGAGCTAAAGGAGGGACAGTGAAACAAACCAAAATGTAAATAATAGGAGACAAAGCCTGGGGACCAGGGACCTGGCAATTAAACTGGCCTCTACTCATCTATCATCTAAATCCTCAGGCAGAGCCTGCCAAGCAGAAAAATTCCTTTCTTAAACATTAATTTTAAGAAAGCCAGAGACTTACTGTGCCTGGTAATAACTTGGTCAGTCAAGCAGAAGCATGGAAAAACAGCAGGGTGCAAACCTGAGTGGGCATTAGCAACTACTAGTGGCCAATAGGAATGGCTTCTGTTAACTGAGTGTCTGCTGCTATGTACCAGACTCTGCATGCAGGCCCTTTACACACACCACCTCCAATTCTCATAACACCAGGCCCAGTAGAGCCCTGGTCTATTGACACCAACTCTAGAAGTCTCTCCATTACACCACAGTAGATTTAACTCTCCACTTACCTCCTGTCTAATACGTTCTTCTGTCTCTAAAACCATTTCACGGATCAAGACACTGAGACCCAAAGAATTTAATCCTCTGTCCAAGGTCACACAGCAAGCAAATATAGCTCCTGCTTGTGTCAGAGACAGATGGGGAGACAGATTTAAGCTAAAATTCTGCTTGGCTGACTCTACCCTGCTAAGCCTCAGTCTCCTCATCAGTAAAAGGGGTATAATAGTAGCACTTACCTCAAAGGGAAGATGATGAAATCATGGGTGTGTGGTATCTGGTGTTTATAGAGACAGGCATGCAACCTCTGTGGTTGTGAGAAGTAAACAGCTGCTGTGAGGGACGCGTATATCAGTTATTCATCATCACAGCTGGAGGGTTAGCTTTTGTTCTTATAAAGCCCTGGGTGAGTCCTTAATCACTGAACAGAGCATTTATTTCCCATTAACCATGTGCCAAGCACTGTGTAACTGCTTAACATGCAATCTTTCATTGGCTCCTCCCTCGAGCTCTAGGGGCGGGTATGATTATCATCATCCCCATTGTACAGAAGAGAAAACTGAGGCACATAGAGGACCATTAGCAAGAGGTAGAGCCAGACTCAGACCCAGGTAAGTCCCACCCCTCGGCCACACTGCCTCCCTCATGCTGGCTTTGCCTCTTTTCCAGTTCGGCACCAACTGGGCTGTCTACATGACCAAGCCGGACGGCTCGTACGTCGTCAGGACGGTCCAGGAGCTGCTGCCTGTCTCCTTTGGGCCCGAGGACCTGCAGAAGATCCAGTGAAGGTCGGAGAGCACTCGGCCTGGGAGAGCTTGGGTTCCCACATGCTTGAGGGCATAGCTGCCCCGAGATCTTCATGAGGATGCCCCCCCAGACCTGGGGACATCTGCCTAGTGGGCCCCAACCCTACACGGGCTGAGCAGAGATGACTTTCCCAAATTACACTCAAGCACCATGTGGAAAATCTGCTGAAGTGATAAAGGGTTTCACTCCAGCCTGGGCCAAAGGCCCTCCTTGCACTCTACCTTGTCCTCCCTGGGACAAGCGCACCCCATCGCTTCCTTTCCTTCCTGCACAACCTCTTTAAAATTCTTACCAAGTCTGGATGGCTTCGCCATTGGCCTTCCTGAGGTTCTAACCTGTTCTGAGCAACCGTTTTTTCTATTATAGACAATTCAGGATGTCCTGGCTCGAGGGAGCCCGTTTTGCTCTGTGTCTCTATCGTTGCTCACAGCTCTTAGGGGGACAGGGTGATTTGTCTTTACAGAAAGACCTGGGCACTTTCTGCTGGGAGAGGAGATGGGCATCTTGGAACTGTGTACTCTTCAGTGCAGAGAACTGATATTTTAGGCTTCTTTCCCCTGCAGTCTCCAGATGGGAGGCCCCACTGCTTTGGGCTGTTGTCTGGTTTGGGCTCAGTATAAACCTGAGCACCCATGGGTGTTAGGGAGAGTCCAAAGTATAAATAGGGAGGCATGAGTTTTTCTAGACAGTGGAACAAATACTTCTCTGAGGATCTTTTCTCTGAGCCATTTTTTTCTAACTATAGAAAAAAAAAGTACTGTATATCAAATACCCCTGCATGGATTGTTTTTTGTTAAATTTAAAGCACTCAGCAACTCCATGAAGTGCGTTATCTCCTCCTACTCACGAATGAGGTGCTGGGCATCAGAGAGGTTGAGATATTTGCTCAAAAACTGCGGCAAAGCTCAGACCAGAGTCTGGGTCCTGTAACTTCTACTGTGGCCTAGAAAAAGTGCATGCTTTCTGCCAGGTGTTAAGGTGTTTAACGTATATGAACCCATTTAGTCCTCACTCATTAAGCTAAGAGCATATTACCCTCATTTTACCAATGGGCAAATCAAAGCTCAGAAAGGTTAAGTCATTTGTCCAAAGTCACACACCTAATATGTGGCACAGCTGAAATTTGAAACAGGTCTGTCTGATTCCAAGTGTTTTTTTCTATTCTCCCAAAGCTGATGTCTGGCTGCTTTTATTTACCTGAGTGTCTTTTATATGGCAAACACTGAAGAGAGAAAAATGTATAAGAAACAGTTTCTGCCCTTGAGGAACTCACGGTCTGGGATGAAAAGAGAGGTGTAAGTAGGTCTAATGCACAGAAATACACACTGTCATCCAGGCAGGTACCAAGGTGGCACAGTGGGCCATGCCACCTTCTGGGGTGTGAGGAGCGTCAGGGAGGGGACTGTTTCATTGGTGCAGTGACTATCAAACTCTCTCACACACGCACACACACACAATCAGGAAGGTGAGGACTGAGGGGAAGGAGCCAGGCTGCCCTCTACGGGGGCTGACCGCTCTGGTATCCTCCTGGAGGAGGTAGCCTTGGGCCCAGCCTCGGTGGCTGGGGCAAGAATAAAGCCCAGGTTTCCCCTTTCCGAGACAAGCATGTTTCTGGAGGCACAGGAAGAGGACAGGTAAGTCACCCCTTCCCTGGAGTCCTTTCCACTCAGATCCGGAGCATCTGCAGGCCCTGCTGTCTGCTAAGACTGGCTTTTGCACAACACACCCAGACCTACCTGCTGACATCTTGGGAGACAAAAGTAATTCCAATGTTGCTGCACAACATGTCACAAAACTCCACTCTGCGTTTCTTTAGAAATGACTATTGGGGTCTTCAGCATATTTTTCTGAATATTCTCAATAAAGGGGGATGAAAAAAGAAAAAAAAAGCTGGAAATACCCTAACATTAACATCAGTTAAAATTCTGCTTAATGAGAATTCAGATTAGTGATATTTTTCTTTCTATATATCTGAATTTTTTTAAATTTCCAAAACAATTTTTTTTATTTGATAGGGAAAAACAGTACAGCGCAATGGTAAAAAGGTTTGAACTTTGGAGTTGGGCATCCTCCAGACTGTGTGGCTTTGGGCAAATAGTTTTATTATGCTGAGACTCAATTTTCTCATCTGTCAAATGGGGATGGTTCCATCCATCTCATAGAATTGTTAGGCAGGAAAATAGATATGAGTGGGGTACAAAGAGAATAAGGCCAGTAAAGCCCACTAGAAGGGACTCAAAGAGTTAACCAGTTGAAACGAGAAAGCCACAAAAGACTCAGAGTTAATGCGTTAGTCCATTAAAGCGCAGAAGGCCAAGAGCAACTTGACCTAGCATGTCTAATACTCCCCAGATAAAGAAAAGTATCTCTGCATAGCCTATGATTTCATTGTAAGAATTAGCACCTGCTAAAAGGGCCGACTTATTCAGGAAGAATTCTATCTTAAAGCTAAGATTGCATTTTAATCAAACAGACAACTCAGCCCACCTTGGAGGCAGGGCAGACAGTCTTGACTGGGAAGGGATCACAGCAGTAAATTTCCTGTGTTAGGTTTAAAAGAAGAAACTTAATGTCTTGACGAAGACGAGCATTCTGGGACCATTTGGCAGGTCTGCACCTAGCCTTTTGTCGCTTTCCTGAAAATCATCAATCGCCTATAAAACCCCAAACCCTAAACCCGTAGGCGCATTCCTCTCTCTGAGGTCGCCCGCACTTTCTAAGTGCGTACCTTTAATAAAACTTCATCTCAACCTTCAGCGCACTTCTCTCTGAGGCTGCCAGCGCTTTCTAAGTGCGGAGCCTTAACTTTGTCTCTTCAACCTTTTAGAGCACTCCTCTCTCTGAGGCCGCCCGCACCTTCCAAGTGCGTAACTCTAAATAAAATTTTACTCTGCCTCACTACTACTGCATCTCTGCCCTTCAAATCTTTGCTGTGGTGGGGACAAGAACCCAGCAAAATACGCAACACTGCCCTAACAGAATTGTGCAGATCAAATGAAATAATATATGCCCAGTGTCAGACCCTCAGTAAGCTCTTGATAAATGTCACTGTTACTTTGATTAAAGGTGACAAATTTTGGTCCATTGAAGCTGGATTTGATTTTTTACAAAGAGGCAACAGTCTTTTACACCCAATCTATTCATTCCTTTAACAATGATTTATTGAGTGCCTACTGTGTTCTAGGGCTGGGACCAGACTCTGGGGACACTGCAGTGTATAAAACAGATGAGATCCCAGTCCTCATGGAGCCCTCAGTTTCCCAGTGGGAAAATGAGTTCTAAATGATGGCAGTACTTTAGGACGAGTGTCACCCAAGGGGAAGAAAGTGCTCAGGGAGCAAACAGCAGGAATAGAGCTTGCCTAAGAATGGGCAAGGCAATGCTGAGGAGGACCTGCTCCAGCCCGGGCCCAGGGAGGGGCACCCAGTTAGTTAGGGAATGGGGATTGGGGGCACAAAGAATGAGGACTGCCTAAAGGACTATGCCCAGTGTTCTTGTGTGTCGTGGAAACACTGGGAAAGCCAGTTCTCAAAGAAAGATTCTAGAAATTATTTGAACAGTGTCTGCTTGGAAGAGCAACATTCACGTGGCTGGAGAGAAACTGGGATGTTTGTTTAAAATAAGAGAAATTTCATTTTTCAGTCCCACTGTTCTGAGGGCCTGTGATTTCAGAGCAGCACATGTTCTATTGTTCAGAGCTCTCTGTGTTTTTAGGCCCCTAAAGCTGAGGGCCAGATTCCCATGGAAATAAACAGAAGCATGGATATTTCTGCTGCTCTTGCTGGCAGGTGCTAATTGTTTATGTAAACTACAAGATTCTTTAGGATTTCCTTTTGGCAGGAAGGAGGGCACAACTGTTACTGACAGCCAGGAGGGGTACTTTGGGCACATATGTCAGAAATGAAACCAGAAAATGCTGTTGAAGAATTTAAAAAATGGAATGGCCTAATAAGTCTCACACACATGTAATATTTCATATATGCTTAGCTGAGCACAGAAACAGTCTGTAATGTCATGTATGATAAGGGGACTTGACAGGGGGAGAAACTAAAATCACTATGACTGAACAGAAAAAATATGGCATAATGATTGCATTAGTTTATTCAGTGTCTATTGCTGTGTAACAAATGAAGCCAAAATGTAGCCGCTTAGGACAACAAAAATGCATTGTTTCAGTGTCTGCTGGTCAGGAATCTGGGCAGAGCTGGGTTATGGCTCAAGGTCTTGTAGAAGCTGCAGTTAGAGTGTCGGCCAGGGCTGCAGTCTCATCCAAAGGCTTGACTGGAGAAGGATCCACTTCAAAGCTCACTCATGTGCCTGTTGGCAGGATTCGGTTCCCATGGGCTGTTGCTGTTACTATTCAGTTCCTTTCCACCTGGGCTCTCCACAGGGCAGTTTACAACACAGCAGCTGGCTTCCCTCCAAAGAAGCAAGACAGGAGCCAGAGTCTTTTTGTAACCTAACCACAAAAGTAACATCCCATCATTTCTGCCAGATTCTATTCCTCAGAAGCAAGCCTCTAAGGTCCAGCCCACAGTCAAGGAGAAGAAATTACACAAAGGAATAGAAACCAGGGGGCATCTAAAGATGTAAAATTTGAATGCACGTGAAAAGAAAAAGATTGGTAGGGGTAGCTGGAATGTCAGAGGAAGCAGGCATGGCTAAGGGTTGACCTTATTCCAAAGGACAGCTATCAGTTTCAGGCAGGGGTGCGGGTGTCATGGTCAGCTGTGTGCCTTAAATGGCTTCTGTCAAATCAGGAGATATTAGAGATCTGAAGGAAACTATAGAAGAAATAGTTATAACAGTAAAGTATTGTTGCCTCTGGGCTTAGAGTGAGTTGGAACAGGGGTGTTGATTTTTCATGATGAGCCTGTCTATATATTATACACTGTTAGTGTTTTTTAAAACATGTATTCATATTACTTTTATTTAAAGGGCTTTTACTCTAAAGCAAAATGAAAGTGGCATAAAAAGAAGCCATCAAAAGGAAATTCACTTAGCAATAATGTAGTGTAAATTCTGGAGAGCAAATGCAGTAGCTGACTCTGTTGGGGGTGGGAAGGAGGAGTGAGTCATGTGACTGGGAGTTTGAAAGGATAGCTCAGCTGCTTCCCCTCCTCTTCACCTTGAGAGCTAACCTGCCCACCGAGGGCTTGTTTCCAGATGGTTCTCGAACAAGGGCTGGAGATCCAGCTGGCCCTGTGCTGGATGATCTAAGGTTAAAAATCACAATCTCTGTCCTTACAGAACTCATAGTTGAGAGGGGGAGACAGAGAAGGAGCTCCTAGCCCACTCTAGGAAGGATCAAAGGAGGCTTCCTGGAGGAGGTGACCTCAAGTATGAATGGCGATTTTTTTCAAAGAGGTAAGTCAAGACAGAGGGATCAGCATAATGCTTCGGACAACTGCAGGTAATTCAGTATTTCTGGACCATGAAGGGCAAGGAAGGAAGACAGCAAGAGAAAGACATTAAGACCAATAGTGAAGGGCCTTCTGTGCCAGGCTAAGGAGGTTGGGATTTATCCTGAGGGCACAGGGCAAGGGCAAAGAGCCTGTAAAGGGCTTTAAACAGCAGGTGACAGAGCCATGTGTGTACTTTGAATAATCACTGCAGGGAAGCAAATATATTGGACTGCATAAACCACAGACTGAATGTCTCAACAGCACATCTTCCTAATCCATCACCACCCCATTTCCATCCATCTTCCCTGGGCAAAACAGAAAGACTTCTACCCAGTGAAATCTCACTCTCTGCCCAACAGTGTCTGATTCTAACCTCCAAAAACTACAGCCCAACAGTTTCAAGTAGCTGGATTTTGATCTGCCAGCAGCTTTGCTCTGTCAACAGCTTTAGCAAAAATTCCTTTCACCTCTGCACAGAGATAGCATTTCTGAAATGGTCTGTGGATAAAGGATGCTGCTGCTCTGGGGAAATGTGTCTGTCTCCTGCCAGGAGGAGACAAAGAGCACTGAAATGGTGCCAAAGGACACCATCCAGAAGGAAAGGTCAACTGGCCCTCCACAGCTCTCTTCTTGAAGTCTTGTCTTTTCCCATTTTTACATTAGCATCAGCTTTATTTCCCCCATGTCCTTTGGGGGAAGGTGAAATGATGCTTCTTAGGAATATTATGTAAGGGAAAGGGTGCAAGAATGAAAGAAGGATGCCCACAGAGCATCCTGTACACCAGATGCATTCCATTCTCCAACTCTTGTGGCTGAGCATATCAATGCCTGCCTGATACGTCACTGACATTTAATAAATGTTCCAGGAATGAATGAGACTCATATAGAATATTAATCTGCAGTATAAACAGACACCTCAGCAGAAAACCGTATACCATATCCCCGACTTCACTTTCTTGGGATAGCACTGCAGAGATGGAAGATGAAACAGGAGAAGCTCAGAACCATCCCCTGCGACCTGAGACTTGGTGCCACCATGGGAAGACTTTTCCTTCTACAGAGAACAGACGGGGATGAACAGAATCAGGGCCATGATCCCTGAGAGAGGCAGCCCCTGCACCCCACCACAATAAGGCTGTTATCTGCCCTGAGAATAGAGAACCTGGGCACCCTGCAAGCACTGCTGAAGCCTCTCTGTTTAGAAGTCCCCTCGCTTGCCCTCTTCTTACAGAGGTCTGCTGAAGAATCAAGCTTTGCACTGTGCTTGGTTCAGACCTGTCAGAAGCAACTTCAATGCTCAACAGAAGGGGAAGTGAGCTAGGCCAATGCTCTCTGATGACAAAGAAACTGCACAGCCTACAGGGTTAATTAACATCAGTCTGGAGATGTCATTTCTGCAGGTGGGTAGGCTAAGTTATCAGAGGTCCTGCGATTTTATTTGCAGCTTCAGAGTACAAATACAAAGGCTGATGACAAATGCACTCTGTAACTCAACAACACCAGTACAGCGTCCCTCTAGTGAACGCATCTTAAATAGCTGCAGTCATCACAAGCCTCCTGGTATAAGGTGGCATTCCTAGGAGAGTAAAGAAAATCCTTGTAGTTAAACCATTAAATATTGCAGAGAACCTCTTGTTCCTTCCCAGTAAACATTAAAGAGCTGTAATGATGACACACAGCAGATGAAATTTAAACTTTAAATGAGACCTTTGCCCCAACTGTTTCCCTAGGTGTGCCCGTGGTCACAAGAGCGTGAAGTCTCTCCCACCTTCTCTGCCTTATCTTTCTGTAAAAAACAATTTCAATGGTGCATTTCAAGTGTAATTTAAAATTCTCTGAGCTCAATCAAGGAATTAAAGGAATTAAATCCGATTTCTATGGGTTCTATAAGTAAGTTGAAAAGAAAGTCATCTATTTGTCTATTTATGTATCTCCCAAATAAATGTTTGGGGACCACAAGGGCCCTGCAATTTCTCCCAAGAGAGAGCAGAACACAGACACACAGACACACACTGCTGAAACAGTTGGCTACCCGACCGTAGCCAGGGATCCACGCCTTGAACAAGCAAGCTGCAGACCCAGAACCCTTCATGACTGAAGATTCCCTCCAACAGCAGCTACCGCCTACATGTCCCCTGACTTTGTCTTTAAAGGAAGAAAGGGATGTGAAACCTTTTGCTTGTGCCTTGCCTCTGTCTCTCTCCCCATGTCCTGCCTTTTTTGCCTCTCCATCATCAGAAGAATCACAGTGAAGACACTTTAGAAATACACTGAGAGCAGAGTTCAACTCAAGGTTTATGGTACAACGAAGCTCATTATTCAAATGTATTTTTTGTTTGAAACCATTAAATTCCAAGACAATTCAGTAAACTGTGAACTTTAGCGCACTATTCAAAATAAGTTCATTTTTCAAAAAATATTTAGACCATGAATGAGTTACTGATTTATGTTAAAAATATTTTTATGTAAAATGTTTATTGAAATATTACACAGAAAATTTCACAAATCAAAGTGTACAGCTGTGAATTTTCATCCCATGAACATACCCTGATCAAGAAACAACATCACCTGCACCCCAAAACCTCCCAAATCCTCTTCTAGTAACTACCCTCCAAAGAGCAACTGCTATCCTGCTTTCTAACATACATATTTTGTCTGCCTTTGAACTTTACGGTGGATCCATGTAGAATCACATGGTATTTCTTTTTATGTTTGCCTCCTTTAACTGATCAGTATATATATATATGTATTTATAAAATGTATCCATGTTGTTACATATAGTTGTAGACACTCATGGCTGTTTTGCATCCCATTGAGTGACTATACCACAATTGATGCTGTCTAGTATAGATGGCCATTTGAACTGTTCCTGGTTTTACGCTGTGTGGAATCATGCTGCTATGAACATTCCTGGGGAAATTATGTATGCGTTTCTGTGGGTCTATAGCCAGAAGTGAAATCACCAAGTCCTCATTTAAATATATATTAGTTTCAATATATTTAAATTCACCAAATTCAAAGATGGATCCTTTTGCAGTTGTCTTATTTTTATCTGCTGGCCTGTTGTTCCCACTTACTCCACAGCATAGAACCAGGGCTGTGCTGAAGGACCCAAATAAGCCCTGAAATAAATGGGTTAGGCTGTGTCTCTCTACTCAAGCAACAGTGAGACGGGTCTCAGGACAAATGAAAGTCTCCTTGTCCTGAGCTCACCCACTCACACACAGAGATTCATGGCCACATCCACAAAAATATTCCACATATCTTCCAGGGCCTGTTACCCACAACCAGGCTTAGGGGTAAGGAATGGAAACTCATGATCACAGGAACATTTTTTTTTCTTTTTTTCTGGTCTTGTAATAGCCAATTCATTTATTTATTTTAAATTATTTATTTATTTGTTAAGGTATCATTGATGTACAATCTTACGTTCAGGTTTCACGTGAGTAACATTGTGGTTACTACATTCACCTATATGATCAAATCCCCCCCCACACACCCCATTGCAGTCAGTCTACAGGAATATTTTTTTTTAATGGCAGCAGCACAAAATATATCTCCTTAGTTAGCTCAGAGATGGCTTAGTCTCTTGTAAAAGAATAGCTCATGACCAAATAAATTATGTAGAGCATCTTTGGATCCCAATTTGGAAAACAAAACAAATGTGAATATTGCCTGGATTGTAAATGATACTATGGAGTTAATCTTTTTCAAGGTGAGAACAATATTCATTTTTTGTAAAGAGTTCTTTTCTCTTAGAGATAGATACTGAAATATGTATAACTATGTCTGGGATCTGCTTTAAAGTAATGGGGATAGTAGGAAGGTATAGAAGAATAAAATAATGGTCATTTGTTGATAATTGTTGAAGGTGGATAATGGGTACATGGAGTTTTATATACTATTCTACTACTGTGCATGTTTGAAATTTTCCATTAAAAAAAAAAGGCAGGAAAAAGAAAAAAAAATCACCCAATATAAATTCCTTTATCAGTCATTCCTAACAGCGGGTTTGGGTAACAAGATACTGCCACTAACATACTATGTGAATTTGGGCAAGTCGCTCCACGTCGGGATCCTCAGTTCACTCATCTGAAAAATCTGGCCTTGGGAGTGAGATTTCTCTTGTGGTCCTAAGAACCAGAAGGGGCTGTGGGTTTTGTAGAGAGATGCCTCAGGGCATGGAAGGAGGGGGCGACAAAGACATAACAATCAAGGCAACGTGGACTTTAGCCTCGGCTCTGACACTGCGTGCGACCTCAGTCGCTGCCCTTCCTAAACTTCAGTTTCCTTACCAATAAAAGTGACATTCCTGTCTTGGGAAAATAAACAGATGTAGAGAATCTAGCACGGTGGGTGATACTCAATAAATATTAGTTTCCCTTCACAGGTTCTCCATTTTTCCCAGGGCCAGTGATGTTCACACTCAGGACCTCCCGGACACGCAATCCACCTCGACCCAGGGTCCAAAGCTCAAGAGCAAGAAACTGCCCGCCGCGCAGCTGCGCTCACAGCGCCCCGCGCGGGCAGCCACAGGACCGCCAGGGAGTGGGCCCCGCCCACCGGCGCCCGCGCCTGCGCAGAGGCTCCTCCCCTGAAGTTTGTTGAGTCCGGCGTCTCCGACGCCGGCGGCGGCGGCTGGGGTCCTTGGTCGCGGCGCCACCATGGCGGTGCGACAGGCTCTGGGCCGGGGCCTGCAGCTGGGTCGGGCGCTGTTGCTGCGCTTCACGGCCAAGCCGGGCCCGGCCTACGGCTGGGGGCGGCCTGAGCGGCCGGGCCCCGCGGCGAGCTGGTGCCGCGGAGAGCGCCCGGGCCAGGCCGCGGGGCCCGGCGCGGAGCCGCGCAAGCTCGGGCTCGGGCTCCCCGAGCGCTACCGCTTCTTCCGCCAGTCGGTGGCCGGGCTGGCGGCGCGGCTCCAGCGGCAGTTCGTGGTGCGGGCCCGGGGCGGCTTAGGCCCTGGAGGCCGGGCCGTCTTTCTGGCCTTCGGGCTGGGGCTGGGCCTCATCGAGGAGAAGCAGGCAGAGGGCAGGCGGGCAGCCTCGGCTTGTCAGGAGATCCAGGTCAGCCCTGACCGGGAGCGGGGCGGGAGACTTGGGGGGCGTGGCTGGGGGCGGGGTCCTGGGTCCGAGGCGGAAATTCCTTGGAAATCACCAAGGCTCATTTGCAGTGATACTGATCTGATATGGGACCAACACCTCATACTTGTTTTACCGTTTTCCCTCAAACAGCATGTTTTGGAAGATGGGCTGCTAATTACAGCTCCTGTTGCAGTGTGGCTGATGGCTTTGTAAATTTTCTAAAACTTAGGGACAAATCATAACACTTCTATGCCTGAAATAGTTGTCATCCCCATTTTATGCCTGCGGAACATATTCAGAGAGGTGAAGTAACTTGGTGGAAGCCACATAGCTAGTAAAGGACAGTGCCGAGAGTCTGAATCTCGTACAGTGTGGCCAAACAGTTAGTGAAATTGCTGGAGCCCAAGTGACAACTGAACAGCAGGAGAAAACATCAGACTTAATGGTTTTAAGTTAACCTGTGTAGAGTCATCAGGAATGTCTGGATATGTAGGGCTTCTTAGAGTTTTTAAATGTTTAAAATAGCTCAGAGACTTGTTTCTACTCAACCAAAATCTGTATAGTCAGGATTTTCCAGAGAAACAGAGCCAATAGGATGTGTTTATAAAAAGAAGGTTTATTTTAAGGAATTGGCTCTGCAATTAAGACTGGCAAGTACAAAATTCGCACATTAGCTCACGACTGAAGGCCGTCTGCTGGCAGAATTCGCACTTTTTCTGGGGAGATGAGTCTCCTTCCTAGGGCTTGGAACCACTCTGAGTTAGTAGAGCCCCTGCATTTTACATCTTAGGGCTGAGGCAGTAGAAGATGGAGTGAGGACACTTGGTTGCCTAAGGACACTTGGTTAAGGGCCAAGCATTTCTTCCTTGTTTCCTGGTTTCCAGCCCAGTTCTCGTCGCTTGTCACCAGAGTGTCTCATGTTTCCACTCTGGCCAGTTTGGGGCAACAGGTGACATCTGGCCTAGTCTCCAGCCGCTGTCCTTGTCTTTTGCTGTGGCTTAACTGACAGAAGCCAAGGGTGGGAAACTTGACAAATCCTGCATAAAATTAAAGAGGCTTTTAAAACTGAGCAGCATGATTCTCCTCACTCACCATCTACAGACTCTTTTCTCACACTTTGCCCTCCTGAGTCTTAAAATTTTTAAGTAGTTGTCAGTTAATTTTTAAAATGCAGGTGTTTGACTTCTTTTGAAAAAAATCACCAGATCTGGCAAGTATAATGCTAAAATTACATATGTTGTCAGACTGGAGTAATAGTGGCTGCTCCATTTAGCAGAAGACATGTGGGGAAAAAAAAGTTATAATAAAGTAGGCTGAAGACATGAATATATATTTTACCAAGAGGAGATAAGATGCCAAATAAGCATAGGAAAAGATGTTCAGCATCACTAGCCATTAGGGAAATGCAAATTAAAAACATTGATATCACTGCATACTTATCAGAACAGCCAAAATAAAACATAGTGATGATACCAAATGCAGAGTAACTGGACTGCTGGTGAGCATATAAAATAGTACAACCACTCTGGAAAATAGCAGTTTCTTACAGAACTAAACATGCATTTAATCATTTGACCCAGACATTGCAGTCTTGGGCATTTACCTAGAGAAATGTAGACTTATGTGCACACAAAAACCTATAGCTGAGTAGCTGCTTTGGAACATGTATGGCATTTCCCCCAAAAATTAAAAGTGGAATTATATGATCCAGCAACTCCACTTCTGGGTGTATAGCCAAAAGAATGGGAAGCAGGGACTCCAACAGATGTTTGCACACCTATGTTCGTAGCAGCAATATTCACAGTAGTCAAAAGGTGGAAGCAGCCCAACTGTCCATGATGGATGATGAATGGGTAAACAAAATGTGGTATGTCCATATAGTAGACTATTATTCAGCTTTCAAAAAGGAAGGAAATTAGGATGCATGGATGAAACTTGAAAACATTATGCCCAGAGAAATAGGCCAGTCACCAAAGATAAATACTGTATGATTCTACTCATATGAATTACTTAATCTAGTTAGATTCATAGAGATGGAAGGTGGAATGGTGGCTACCAGGGACTGGAAGAAGAAGGGTTGGGGAGTTACTGTTTAAAGTGTATTGAATTTCAGTTTGCATGAAGAAAAATGTTCTGGAAGTGAATGGTGGTGATGGTAGCACAACATGTGAATATACTTAATGCCACTGAGCTGCATACTTTAAAATTATTTAAATGGTCAACTTTATGTTATGCATATTTTACTACAATTCTTAAAAATAATTTTTAAGCCCTGTGCTGGAATGTTTATAGCAGCATCGTTCATAATAGCAAAATATTCAAAAAACACCCAAACGTCCTTTAGTGGATGAATTGTTAAACTCTCGTAAAGTCAACTATTAATACAGGTAACAACCTAAATGAACCTCAAGGACATTATGCTTAGTGAAAAAAGTTAGTCCCAAAAGGTTACATGCTGTATGATTCCATTTATATGACATTCTTGAAATAACAGAACTATAGAGAGATGGAAAACAGACCAGTGGTTGCCAGGGGACCAGAATAGGGTGGGGTGGGGCATTAAAAGAGGTAGCACGAAGGAGTTCTTTGCAGAGACGGAACAATTCTGTGTCTTGATTGTGGTGGTGATTGCATGAGTCTGTGCATGGGATAAAGTTGCACAGAGCTACACACATACACACACACACACACACACGAATAAATGCAGGTCAGCATGGGATAAAGTTGCACAGAGCCACACACACACACACACACACACACACACACGAATAAATGCAGGTCAGCATGGGATAAAGTTGCACAGAGACACACACACACACACACACACACGAATAAATGCAAGTCAGCATGGGATAAAGTTGCACAGAGACACACACACACACACACGCATGCGCGCGCGAATAAATGCAGGTCAAAAAGATGGCCAAACCGAGTAAGGTCCTTAGTCCAGTTAACAATAGTGTGTCAGCGTCACTTGCTTGGTTTCAGTATTGTGCTACTTCTTTGTAAGTTGTCACCATTGGAGGAAATGATGAAGGGTACGCAGGACACACTGTACTATTTTCTATTTCTTTTACAACTCCCTGTGAGTCTGTATTTCAAAATAAAAAGTTAAATACATCTCATTCTCAAAACTATGATTGATAAAGGATTACTCTACAAAATATTGCTTCTGCTCCATGGTTTAGACTAGTTTAGAAACTAGTTGGCAAGGCAAGATAGACTTTCGTTTTTTAAAAAGTGAAAAGTTAATCTTGCAAGATGTATTAGCTTATAGATACTAAGCATTTTAGGAATCCTCCAGAAGGAAAGGTTGCTCTGGGCTGGGTTGTCAGGTCTGGTTATAAAGGAAGGAGGAGCTCAAGTTGGGACCTAATGGTCAAGTGGGGATGAGCCAGGCGAGCAATACAGTGTGTGGGGGGAAGGAGTGTGAGCAAAGGTCCAGAGAGAAGCATATGAAAGCTAAGTATGGACAGTGCACAGGCCAGCCTGGTGGAACACTTTCCACTTTTAAGAAGTAGCAAGGCCAAGGTATGTGTAACCTGTTGGTTAGGTTTTGAGCAGAAGAGTGACATATGTATGCAGTGTGGTTTCATCTGGCTCAGCAGCAGGTAAAGGGATGTTGTAAAAGTGGGAACATCTAGAAGTGGTTGACTGACCACAGAAAGGAGTGATCAGCAAGCAGGTCAGGATTTGAGGAGGAGGGTGGAGCCTGGGGGAGTGGAAAAATAAGGTCACCTGCCTGAAGTGGAGAAGGACCTGGATTGCAGGGAAATGGGCTCTTTCCCAGTGTCGCCACACACCTGCACTTCATCTATTTGTATCAGAATATCTGTACCCCTGTTCCTTTCTGGAAAGAAAGACATGGGCCCATCAGAGTACTAAGAGGCGGAGTCAGAAGACAGGACTTACTGACTCAGCTCTGGAGCCTCCTGAGCTCACCCTGCTGCCTTTCAGAGTAACCGGAGGTCATTTGCAGGTGGAGGGCCTGTTGGCCACAGGCCCATCCACGGCTGGTAAGCACCCAATAGCTGCCTGCCAGGCGCTTTACCAGGAGAGAACTTTCTCCATAATCAGAAACCTCCCAAGTTTGTGCTGCAACTTGACAAGCAGTAAAGGAATGGTGTGCCCTCTGCACAATTTAGTTCTGACCTCTTAACTAATTCACAGTATTCTGTGCTGGGCTGTCTCTGTGACTGCAGTGAAGGTACAGAGTTTGAGAAAAATAACTCTGAATAATGAGAAAGGCAGGATGGCTGAGCCCAGCACGAGCAGTAAAGCCCAATGTGGTGGTATTTTTATTAGCTCTTGATCTTGTCGGGAAGCCCTTGCCTTGCTCTACCTCCCTGCTCTCATTTCCCTGTGCTGGAGCTTTGCTAGGCTCTCTGGCTCATGGTGTATGTGTTTTTCCTCACAGTCAATTTTTACCCAGAAAAACAAGCTGCTGCCTGACCCATTGGACACTGGACGGTCACAGGGCTTCCAGTTAGAGGAGTACCTGATAGGGCGGCCCCTGGGCAAGGGCTGCAGTGCTGCTGTGTACGAAGCCACCATGCCTGTGTTGCCCCGGAAGCTCGAGGTGGCAAAGAACCTAAGGCTTCTTCCAGGGAGGGGCCCAGATACCATTCCGCGGGACGAAGAGGAGGACCGGACCCCACGAGACTCTGTCTTTCCCTTAGCCATCAAGATGATGTGGAACATCTCGGTAAGGAGGGGGCCTTTCATCTATAAAGTAGGCATTTCTCAAAGTGCCAGTCTTGGGGGATCTGATGGCACTTTCCCCAGGAAGTAGAGAGGCAGATTCTCTGCAGTACAGGTGCCTATATTGTTAGGCTCTCTCAAGCTCACACACGAGGGTCTGAAGCAGCATGACTCAAATTGTAATGTCCACGAATCACCTGGGGATCAGGTTAAAAGCTGGGTTCTGATCAGCTTTCTGGGGTGGGACCTGCTTCTGCCTTCCTGACAAGCTCCCAGGTGATGCCCACGCAGCTGGTCTTTGAACCTCACTTAGAGTAGCAAGTGCCTAAACCATCAGCTTCTGATCGGTCAGTGCATCCAGTTAGCTAATTGCAGGACCACCATCCTCTCTCTTCCCCTTGACCTGCCTCACTGGAGAGGAGGGGCCACTCTCCTTTCCTCTAAACTCGCCCTTCACCCTCACCTCCATCAAAGACTTCTCACCCACTGAGGCTCTCAGTGCTTGGAGAACTTGAGGTTTAGGGAAGTTGAGTATTTTTTCCCCCAACAAAAATGAAGATTTCTGTCTATGTAGATTAATTTCTTTACCTTACCATTACAAAGGTGGGTTCAGAAAATTAAGACTTGATGTTCTTCCTCCTGCCCAGAGCTTTTCAGGGCTAAGGTGGGACACAGCCACAGCGGCTCATCCTGGACACTGAAGAATGCGGTTTCTTGTTTTGTTTGTGAATGAAGGTTATCAGGCTTTTGCACACCTATGCTGGGTTAATAGCTAACAGGTAGCCAAGTCCTTTGCCTGAGGAACATCCAGTCTCAGCATCACAGCTGCCCCGGGTTGGGGCATGACAGCCACTCACAAAAGCTAAAACACTTGATTCTTACAGGGTTCTTAGGTTTCACAGGTCTTGAGGGACATTCATAATGAAATGAGGAAAATAAGGTGCTTTTTCTCCTCTTTGGCTTGGTTTGTTTCTTTTTACTGGGGTTGGGGGAGGCTGTTCTGTGACTCGGCACGTTATGCTTTGTCTGGCACTGCCCGTCTGCTGAAGGGAGCCTGCAAGGATAGCCTTAGTGCCCCAGTGGTCAGTTTGGAGGCTGGTGGTGAGAGGCATCCATGGCAAGAGAATCATCCAAGCACTCGTTATCTTGCCATCTCTTCCTGCCCTGGGTGCCTGAGTTGCCAAGAGTCTGCAGTGTGGGAAGCATCCTCTAAGCTGGCATGGGTGGCATCTCTGCCCTCTGTCCCAGGACAAACTAGTTTTGGCTTGCCACTTCAGAGAGGTTGTCTTATATTGAAGATCAAAGCCAGTTAAGTAGTAGCTGTCCTGGTCTAGATTACAAAGGGCTGGACTTGCTCGGGTCTGTGTAACCCTGGACTCATTATTGGTGTGTTCCAGGCGGGGTCTTCCAGTGAAGCCATCTTTAGCACCATGAGCCAGGAGCTGGTCCCAGCTAGCAGAGTGGCCTTGGCGGGGGAGTATGGAGCAGTCGCTTGCAGGTAAGCACCCACCTGCCTACCAGACTGGCCGTGACCAGCTGGCCTTAGATCATGGATGTCCATAGATGTCTTTGTCTATTCATTGTCCCTCCAGCTGTCCTGTTAGCTCCCCAAGGGCAGAGCTCTCATGTTTTGTGTGCCGTAGCTCAGTAAATGTCTGTTAAATATGACTGGGGGAATATGAAAGAAGGTCTGTAAAATACTGAGGACAAATTCCTGTCTCAGGAGCAGCACCTCCCCTGGACCTGCGGATGCCTGTCTACCTAGCCTTTGCTCTCCTAGGGACCTCACACTCAGCCCTTATGACCTGTTCCTCTCGCCGCTTCTCCCCTCTCGTTTCTGATCTTGTCCCATTTACACCCACTCCACCATACTGAATTCATACTGCTCCCCAGCCAGATGCACCAGGCTCCTCCGTGACTGCCTCTGTGCATGTGGTTAGTATACTTGGGCTGCCCTCCCCAAAGCCTCCTGTCCCCTTCCAGGATACTCCTGTGCACACCCACCGATCTGCCCAGCACAGCCATACTCTTTCTCTGGGCTCCTGTTACAGGCAGGCAGAGCTTTCCAACCCTGTGGCACTGACAGCCTTGAACTGTGATCCTGACTCTCCCACTAGCCCTGGAGGCCTAGGAACAATGCTTTAACTCCTTTGATTGCATGAACAGGGGCCTACTCAGGGGGGACTCCAGATAAACAGCAGTAGAAGGCCACGCGAGGCCTGAATCTACAAGGCCTGGGAACCAAGGCATATCTGAGGACGGGTGGGTGTCTTGTTCCCCCAGTGTTGTCTTGATGCCTCTGTCTTGATGTCCATTCTCTTCTTACACCTGGCGTGTCTTGCCCCACGGCTTCTCTATCCCTGCATACCTTGGGCTTGCACCCCTCTAACTCCCATGGCCCCAGGCAGGTCTCATGGCCCCCTTTCACCTCCAGCTGACTGCCATAGTTACACTTTAAAACTCAAGAATATAACTGGCCCTCCTTCTCTTTTCCCACCAGCCACTTGGGTCTCAGATGCGACTGCAGGCTTGTTGCCTTTGGGCCAGGTGCCTACCCTCCATGCAGTCAGCTCTGCCTGAGTGGCACGGCCCATCTGCAGCAGGCAGTCAGGCAGCCACTGTGTAGCGGGGCTGTGGGTGTCGGGCTCCCGGAGGAGGAGGGGCGGCTGGCGGGCAGGTGACATCTCTGCTGTGAACTGCATCTGTGTCCATTCGTTTATTCAACAAAGGTTTACTGAGCTCACACTCATGCCAAGTGTTTTGCTAGAACTTGGAATCACAGAGATTCTAGGTCCTTTACAGGTATTAACAACCCTGTGCAGTGTGTTACCACTTATTCCCCTTTTGCATTTGGGATTGAGCCCTGAGAAGCCAGGTAACCTGGCCAAGGACTTACAGGGGCAGACCTGGAATTCACATCCAGGCAGCCTATTCCAGAGTCTCTGCCACATGGGATGGAAGGATGGATAGACAGGCTACAGGATGGACTAGTGGCATCATGAAAGGTGATGGGTCATCTTTATAGGATTTTTTTCTCCTCCAACACCAGGCTCTGCACTTGACACAGAGCAGATCTACAGTAAATATTTGATAAATGGGTGAATAAGTGAACATTGGTACTTACTGTGGTCTTAGATTATCTTTCCACCTGTCATATCTGATACTGGTCTCATTCATCTGTTCCATTTGGCTAAAACAGAAAACCCGAGAGAGGTCCCAAGCAACTGGCCCCTCACCCCAATATCATCCGGGTCTTCCGCGCCTTCACCTCGTCTGTACCACTGCTGCCAGGAGCCCTGGCCGACTATCCTGCTGTGCTGCCCCCATGTCTTCATCCCGAGGGCCTGGGCCACAGGCGGACACTTTTCCTCGTTATGAAGAAGTAAGTGAGGGTGTGGCAGGGCCTGGAATGTAGGGGCTGTCCCCACATGCCTGAGCCCAGGGTTGCAGGGGAGGGCAGCCTCACCCTTTGGTAGAATAAAGCCATGCCAAGGATGTAAGTGTGCCCTAGAGAGCAGTTTCCTGTTAGGATGATTTTCCATGAAAACAGAATCTCATTTTTATTCAGAAGACACATTTCACCTAGTGCTTTTAGTACCTTTGAGTATCACCCCTTCTCTGTCGCTTGCCTTTCCTGTTGCCTTTTTTTTAAGACATAAAAATAGTCCTCCTTCCTCACCCTCTGTACCCACGAGCAATGCTATAATGGGTGTTTTAAGGAAATGAGTACCTTTTCCATTACCTCCAGCATGTGGAGCCCAGCTCTGTGTTCCTAATTTTAGGAGAGTGGGTAGGAACAGACAGGATACTTGGCAAAAAAGAAATAAAGCTCCAGAAGAGGAAAGGCCATCATCCTCCTAGTAAATAAGATGCTAGGGATCATTGGTGCACATAGCCAGAAGCCCTGTCACCCTCTCCACCAGCTACCCTTGTACCCTGCGCCAGTACCTGCGGGTGAACACCCCAGGCCCCCGCCTCGCCACCATGATGACCTTGCAGCTCTTGGAAGGGGTGGACCATCTGGTTCAACAGGGCGTTGCACACAGAGACTTAAAATCTGACAACATTCTCGTGGAGTTGGATGCAGGTAGGAACCCTGCTGCAACCTCAGAGCTACCTGGGGCAACCAGACCAGGTCTGGGAACATTTAGGACCCTTAGGGTCTTTTTTGGTTTTTCTATTATAAACTGTGTCTTAATTTAACTCTGTACATAAGAGGTATGCAATCCCTCCTTCAAAATGGCGGCTTTGGTTCTCTCTGCGGGGTTTGGGGAATGATGGTTAGCACTCCCCAAGTTCCTTCCTGTCACTCACTTACAGAACAAAAACCTCAGTGGTGGAAGTTTTCTTGAATAAAGTAAGAGACTAGCTCAACCTAAGAATTTTCCAGAAGTGCCAGTTATCCAAATGTGGGCCCAGCTGCCTCTGGACATAATGAGTTCCCCATTACTGAAAGCACTTAAGTAGAAGCTGGATGCCTCTTGCCTGGGATACCGTAAAGGAGATTCATATATCTGGTAAATTTTGAAATAGAAGATTTAAATAATATGCAATTAAGTTGCTAAAGGAACTAGCTTTGTTTTTTTACTTAATTTTTTTTTATTAAGGTATCATGATAGACACTCTTATGAAGGTTTTACATGAAAAACATTGTGGTTACTACATTCACCCATATTATCAAGTCCCCCCCACACCCCATTGCAGTCACTGTCCATCAGTGTAGTAAGATGCCACAGTCCCTACTTGTCTTCTCTGTGCTACACTGTCTTCCCTGTGACCCCCCCTTCACCATGTGTACCAATCGTAATACCCCTCAATCCCCTTCTCCCTCCCTCCCCACCCTCCCTTCCCCACCCCTCCCTTTGGTAACCGCTAGTCCCTTCTTGGAGTCTGAGTCTGCTGCTGTTTTGAAAGGAACCAGCTTTTTAAAGGAAGTCTCTGAATCCTTTTACAAATAACTAGTCCTTAATGCACCTGTTTCTTAGGTTTGGAGTTGGGGTTTCATGTGCAGACTCCTGGGGTGTAATGCCCTGAGAATTCATTTGAGTCAAGCACCATTTGATGAGTTCATCACGAGCAGCTCCTTTGGCCTTGGGGACACATCTAATTACTAGATTTAGAGTGAGCCAAACTTTTAATCAGTTCTTTGCTTGGGGCTTTGATTTCCTAGAGGCATTTCCATATTCATGGAGTTGGCCCTCCCATTCAGCCCTTTGGTCAGTGGGCACCCATCCAGGCCTTGCTGGCCAGTGCCCCTGGGCCAATGCCGAGTCCCTGTTAGCCCCTTTTCACCCCCGTCTTTATGGTGGCTTTAGTAGAGACACATGAGGGCCTCTTGGAGGGAAGGGGGAGAATCAGTCACTGACCTGCCTGTCCCTTCCCCAGACGGCTGCCCCTGGTTGGTGATCACAGATTTTGGTTGCTGCCTGGCAGATGAGCGCATTGGCCTGCAGTTGCCTTTCACCAGCTTCTATGTGGATCGCGGTGGAAACGGCTGCCTGATGGCTCCAGAGGTGAGTCCTGCTGAGTGTGTCAGGCACCATCAGCAGACTGTTCCACCATGTTCCCACTGACTACTAGGCAAGGCCTGATGCCTCATTATTTACTCGGTGCCTCCATCTTTTCTGAGCCATAATTTGACACTAGTCCCTTCCCCACACTTTGCTTTAATCTGTTTTTCCCTAACCACCCGGAGGATGTGAGTTTTTGTCAGCACAAAGCAGGCAGCCTAAGCAAATTCTTCTGGGTCTTCCCCACAGCTTGCTCAAATTCTGGGTTCCTTGGGACAGAGTTCAGATCAGCCCATCAGTTGTCATGCAGGAGGAGAATGAATGGCTTAGAAGTGCCAGCAGCATGACTGCTCAGACATTGCTTTCCAAACAGGTGTCCACAGCCTGCCCTGGCCCCAAGGCGGTGATTGACTACAGCAAGGCTGATGCCTGGGCAGTGGGAGCACTCGCCTACGAGATCTTTGGGCTCCCCAATCCCTTCTATGGCCAGGGCAAGGCCCCCTTTGAAAGCCGCAGTTACCAAGAGGCTCAGCTGCCTGCGCTCCCCATGTCAGTGCCTCTAGACATGAGACAGCTGGTGAGGTCACTGCTCCAGCGGGACGTCAGCAAGGTGAGGTTGACCCCAGGCTCTGCAGGGTTTGCGGGGATGGAAACCTCAGTTCACATTTCAGAGGAAACATCACATTTGGGCTGGCACTAGTGGGATAGACAGCAACTCTGTCTTATAAAGGCCAAAGACAAGAGAACTATATAGATTTTAGTATCAACAGGCTTAGGGAAATTAGCCACCAAATCAGTCAGAAATCTAGCAGTTTGACTCTTCTTGGCCTTAGGTGCTTAAGTTACTCAGAGGGAAAAAGATGCATTTTTGAGAAATATTTAACAGAGATGTAGCTTATAGAAACTGCTGAGCTCTAATGAAAAACTGATGTGAAGCCTCTCCTGAGAACAGATCTGGACACTTTGAAATTAATATAAAGGAACATAAAGGCTAACCTACTTGAAGCCTTCTTTGGAGTGGCAGGTCCACTTCAGGTGGCATGCTTAGGGGAAAGCACAGAGGCAGACCAGGATTCAAACTACGTACCTCTCCCTGCACCACGTGTGCTCTTGGTCACGGGAGATCCTTGCTCCTACCAGCTATTAAGTGATGGGACGTAACTCCCCTCTCACCAGACAGTGCTAGTGTCCAGGAAGCAGTTCGTGGGCCCAGGCAAACCTGTGCACATGCAAAAGCCTGGAGCACGGGTAGACAGCAGCCAGAATGTCAGGTGAGTGAAGCGTATTGTAGGAAGGAGAGAGAAGAGAGTTTGGTTGGGGCCAGAGATGGGAAGAACCTGACACATGGAGGGACTCATTAATAGAGCAGCTTGTGGGCTAAATGCTTGACGTAGACGTTCTGAGCTTCAGCTTCCCTTCCTGTTGCAGAGACCATCTGCCCGGGTAGCTGCTAATGTGCTTCATTTAAGCCTCTGGGGTGAACACACTCTAGCCCTGAAGAATCTGAAACCAGACAAGATGATTGGCTGGCTCCTCCAACAATCAGCTGCTACTCTGTTGGCCAACAGTCTTACTAAGAAGAGCTGTGTAGAAACAAAAATGAAGATGTTATTTCTGGCCAACCTGGAGTTTGAAGCGCTGTGCCACGCAACCCTCCTCCTCTGCTCCTGGAGGGCAGCCCTGTGATGACTCTGATGTAGCTGGTCAGTTACTAAAAGAACTTGACATCATCTGTTGTCGTGATGGTCTGTGAATGCTGAGCGAGGGGGCTCATAGGTGTGAGGGTGGGAGACAGGAGAAAAGATGGTGCAGAGAGAGCTAGTCAACCAAAGAGAAGGCTCTGGTTTGGCAAGTGGAAGGAAGAACATGAGTCCAAGTTCAGTCTGTAGCTACTCGCTTGCTATAGCTGTGGGATTTGGGGTGCGTCATATTAACCTGGGTGGACTAAAATTCTCTTACCTGTAAAATGAAGAAAATGGTCTAGGTAGGAGTTGGCAAACTTCTTTTGTAGAGGGCCTGAGATTAAATACCCAGGCTGCGGCAGCTACTCGTCATTGTGGCACAAAAGCAGTCTTAAGTGTGTGAGGGAGTAAGTGTGGCTGTGTGTCAATCAAGCTTTATTTATAGATACTGAAACTAATTTCATCTGTCATGTGATATTCTTTTAGTGTTTTTCAACCATTTAAAAAACTGAAAACCATTTTTAGCTTGCAGGCCAGACAGGCCCACAGGCCACAGTTTGCCAAACCCTAGTCTAGATGAAGGGCCTAACTCTAAAGAAATGCTAACTAATCACTAGGCCCTTTTTTGTGTGTGTATCACTGCTAAAAATAACGTGGTAAGTTCTCCATGTAAAATCCAAAGGATTGAGTTCTCTGTGCCAAACGAGATGTTAAGCTGGAGGGAGGGCTTTTTGATAAGCAGTTATGTCATCCCAGCCCTCTGAACAGTTCCTAGCCGAGCCAGTTTGTTAGATGAGGCTGGGCTGAGGGTTAGACCTGTGCTCCCCACCCTTTAGAGGATCCAGGCCAAGGCAGTGGCTGTTAGTGGCAGGGCGACTATGACATGTGCTCCTAGCTCCAGGAACAGACTGGCTCACCGGAAGGCAGCAGCCATGACGTCAGCCTGCCCGTTACCTGAGCTAAGGTAAACATCCGCACAGGTCAGGATATTCAGGTACCCGGATGAATACACAGGATGAATACACATCCACGTGAGGCCTGAGCAGCAGGGAGCCACTGCGCTGCAGGGACACATTCTAGAGCACCTTTGAGGGCGTTTCTGAGGAAGTATTTCTAGAGAGCTCTTCCAGCTACTGAACTGAGTCCAGCAGAGCTAAAATGACAAAGGAAATGGAAATTAACAATGTAGTGTTTTAAACTTGCTAATTTCCCTTTTGACCAGCATTTCGTAACGGAAATTGTGAAAAAATTAAATGCACATTGAAAACTGCAGAGTATGTACATGCCTTTAACTGAGTATTTGGCTTTAAGCATGATTCTTATACCATAAAGAAAATTTTGTGGGCAGAGATCAACAATAGGGAAGGGATTTCACGGGTAATTTTGTACCTATTTTTTTACGAACACAATTACTGCCTAGAGCAAAGTAAATGTATATTTAAAGGTTCTTTTCCACCAAGCAATCCTGTAAGTCTTTAAGACAAGCACAGTACCCTGGAGTTCCCACTTCAGTGATTCTGCACCGGCCTCAGAGTATTGTTGACCTTACTTTACCTTGAGGAGTTAGGAAGCTGTCGTCTCATAGTTAAAATGCAGTCCAGTCTTCAGCAAAATTGAAAGAGGCCACTTACCAGTTTGTGTCCGGTCATTACTGACCAGCACCTTTCCCTGCCATCAGTAAAGCACAACAGGGCCGGATGAAGTTCGGGTGCAATGTTTCTCTTTATTTTAGAAATGAGAGTGCTTGCACGTGTGACAAATGCCTCTTGGCATTAGGTGGGGAAATGTACATAACAGTCATTCCCAAATCCGATACTCAATGCCGCATCTCCCACTGAGGTAAGGCTGTGCCACTGTCCCACAGCTTAAAAAACAAACAACTCCCCATAAAGGGAAGAAGCCCAATACTACCAGCCGCTCCACCCCTATGCCGCTCAGTCAGACTTCTCCTTCTCCTTCATGTGTAAGAAGACAATGCTGAAGATGAAGAGCCCCAGCATCATGGAGAAGGCGCTGGCATAGTAGGGATAAGCCGAGGGGATGAAGCGCTCATACTGCGTGTGCTGCAGTGGCCTCACTGACACCTGCAATGGGACAGAGGTGACAGGCCCTGGCCACTCCAGAGCCCAGGCAGGGCACACACCGGCTCAAACAAGGACTGAGCCCCGTGCCTACCTGAGTGGACGAGTACAGGTGGGTGTAGCCTAGCCGGTTGTAATCCACCTTAAACTGGAACACACCATACACGTCAGGCAACTTGAACTGGACGCTGTATTTGCCGCCTGGGGAAGATCCAAGACAAATAACCAGGAGGGGTTTCCCAGTACTTCTCAGCCTCACGAGAGCAAGTCAGAGTGGGGACTGACTGCCTGCAGCTTTCTCCTACAAGAATTCCCTCACCTTTCCTCTTCAGGAAGGTCCTCACGAAAGGATCGATGCGGACAAACTCCAGCTGAATGTCATCGCCATCAAAGGGGACCCACCTGCCACTTGAGAGCTGCTCGATCACGATGCTGTACTCCTGAGACGAAAGACCAGTTAGCCAGGGGTGGCCAGTGACAGGAGGTTGCCACCCCCAGGGCTGCTTGAGGCCCCACGTGGACTCTGGCAGGGACTCCCAGGAGTTCTGAAAGTCTGGGCAAGCCCCCACCACCCAGCCGTGGGCCACTGGGTGGGTACTGGGTTACCTGCCAGGCCCTCTGCCACCTAAATGACTTTCTTAGGGACAATGATGATTTAAGCCCCTCAGGCCCAACACAGAAGTGTTCCATACATGCTTTTGGCCTGAGGCAACCTGGCCAAACTTTGGGGCCCTCCCGCTCCAGGAAGCTCTTACCACCAGGTCAGTGACGGTGTAGGCATTGGGTGGGGCGGGCTCGCCCACCCGATGATGGGACACAGGCCCCACACGGAGGACGCCCTCCTCCTTGAACACCCAGCGGGAGAGGGCCACGGCCAGCTCATAGTTGCCGGTCTGGGAATACCTGCAGAAGGGGGAGAGAGGAGGCTTGAGCACCACACCCCTGCTCCCCACGGTGAACAGCACTGAGCTAATTTCCGCCTGCAGGCCGCACACATCTGGGTACTCTGGGTAAAGGGAACAGAAAAAAAAGAAAAGCGGTCAGGTGGTGGTCTTTTGGGTGTCACCTGCTCAATAAATACACAATTACCAAAGTCTCACATAAGCTGTTACTACCTTGAAAGAATGCGCAGCCAACGCCAACACCAGCAATATGGCAATGAAGGCAAGTCTTCAAATAACCTTAAAGCACCTGAAGATCCTTATTCGCCTCTGACACTTCTAGCTCCCCCTCTGAGTCCTCCCCTCCCCACCAGGCCCACCACACACCCCTAGGCCCCGCATCTACCTCTGGGAGCCAGGCGCGGCCTTCTGCACTGCTGAGTTGAAGAAGGTGTCGCTGAAGAAGTCAAGGGAGCCACTGAAGATGACCCGGGCATTGTTCCTGGCCTGCAGCCCAGCAATCAGGAGGGTGTTCTTGCCCACTGCATGGGGATACTGGGGACAACAGGAGGCTGTCATCCTGGAGAGCCAGGGCAAAGGACAAGCAGCTGGGCCTCTAGGGCAAGAGGACAGCAGGCTGGACTGGAACAACCCAGGCCCCTCCTGAGGGTGGACCTGAGACCCACTGTGTCTGCCCACTGCCCGCTCCCACCAACTGCTCATCATCAGCCTCCACCAAGTGTGCTTTCCTGTGTCATTCTTATTTTCAAATAAAAAGGCACCTTGCTACTGGGCCAGGAGCCAGTGGCCTCAAGACTGCAAAGGGCCCTCACCTGGGTGATGGGTTTATCCGGGAAGAAGGAGTAAGAGGTGGAGGAGCCCGTCAGGATGTCCAACACCAAAGGATTGTCAGGATCGGCCACCATCCTACAGAAGGGAAAGAGAACGCCAACACTGACCCCAAAACCTGGGGTCCCCTAGGGGCCGTTACTTCACAGGCGTGAACCCTGCTTTCTTAACAGCCAAACACTCAATGCAACAATAGCTCTCCTCTTGGAGCAACAATGAGGTCTGACTCTGAATGTCAGAAATTCTTCACATCTACATCCTCTGGGAAAAGGAATGCCCCCAAATAATTTTTGGGTTGGTTTCCTAAAAGCACAACAGGGCCGGATGAAGTTCGGGTGCAATGTTTCTCTTTATTTTAGAAATGAGAGTGCTTGCACGTGTGACAAATGCCTCTTGGCATTAGGTGGGGAAATGTACATAACAGTCATTCCCAAACCCGATACTCAATGCCGCATCTCCCACTGAGGTAAGGCTGTGCCACTGTCCCACAGCTTAAAAAACAAACAACTCCCCATAAAGGGAAGAAGCCCAATACTACCAGCCGCTCCACCCCTATGCCGCTCAGTCAGACTTCTCCTTCTCCTTCATGTGTAAGAAGACAATGCTGAAGATGAAGAGCCCCAGCATCATGGAGAAGGCGCTGGCATAGTAGGGATAAGCCGAGGGGATGAAGCGCTCATACTGCGTGTGCTGCAGTGGCCTCACTGACACCTGCAATGGGACAGAGGTGACAGGCCCTGGCCACTCCAGAGCCCAGGCAGGGCACACACCGGCTCAAACAAGGACTGAGCCCCGTGCCTACCTGAGTGGACGAGTACAGGTGGGTGTAGCCTAGCCGGTTGTAATCCACCTTAAACTGGAACACACCATACACGTCAGGCAACTTGAACTGGACGCTGTATTTGCCGCCTGGGGAAGATCCAAGACAAATAACCAGGAGGGGTTTCCCAGTACTTCTCAGCCTCACGAGAGCAAGTCAGAGTGGGGACTGACTGCCTGCAGCTTTCTCCTACAAGAATTCCCTCACCTTTCCTCTTCAGGAAGGTCCTCACGAAAGGATCGATGCGGACAAACTCCAGCTGAATGTCATCGCCATCAAAGGGGACCCACCTGCCACTTGAGAGCTGCTCGATCACGATGCTGTACTCCTGAGACGAAAGACCAGTTAACCAGGGGTGGCCAGTGACAGGAGGTTGCCACCCCCAGGGCTGCTTGAGGCCCCACGTGGACTCTGGCAGGGACTCCCAGGAGTTCTGAAAGTCTGGGCAAGCCCCCACCACCCAGCCGTGGGCCACTGGGTGGGTACTGGGTTACCTGCCAGGCCCTCTGCACCTAAATGACTTTCTTAGGGACAATGATGATTTAAGCCCCTCAGGCCCAACACAGAAGTGTTCCATACATGCTTTTGGCCTGAGGCAACCTGGCCAAACTTTGGGGCCCTCCTGCTCCAGGAAGCTCTTACCACCAGGTCAGTGACGGTGTAGGCATTGGGTGGGGCGGGCTCGCCCACCCGATGATGGGACACAGGCCCCACACGGAGGACGCCCTCCTCCTTGAACACCCAGCGGGAGAGGGCCACGGCCAGCTCATAGTTGCCGGTCTGGGAATACCTGCAGAAGGGGGAGAGAGGAGGCTTGAGCACCACACCCCTGCTCCCCACGGTGAACAGCACTGAGCTAATTTCCGCCTGCAGGCCGCACACATCTGGGTACTCTGGGTAAAGGGAACAGAAAAAAAAGAAAAGTGGTCAGGTGGTGGTCTTTTGGGTGTCACCTGCTCAATAAATACACAATTACCAAAGTCTCACATAAGCTGTTACTACCTTGAAAGAATGCGCAGCCAACGCCAACACCAGCAATATGGCAATGAAGGCAAGTCTTCAAATAACCTTAAAGCACCTGAAGATCCTTATTCGCCTCTGACACTTCTAGCTCCCCCTCTGAGTCCTCCCCTCCCCACCAGGCCCACCACACACCCCTAGGCCCCGCATCTACCTCTGGGAGCCAGGCGCGGCCTTCTGCACTGCTGAGTTGAAGAAGGTGTCGCTGAAGAAGTCAAGGGAGCCACTGAAGATGACCCGGGCATTGTTCCTGGCCTGCAGCCCAGCAATCAGGAGGGTGTTCTTGCCCACTGCATGGGGATACTGGGGACAACAGGAGGCTGTCATCCTGGAGAGCCAGGGCAAAGGACAAGCAGCTGGGCCTCTAGGGCAAGAGGACAGCAGGCTGGACTGGAACAACCCAGGCCCCTCCTGAGGGTGGACCTGAGACCCACTGTGTCTGCCCACTGCCCGCTCCCACCAACTGCTCATCATCAGCCTCCACCAAGTGTGCTTTCCTGTGTCATTCTTATTTTCAAATAAAAAGGCACCTTGCTACTGGGCCAGGAGCCAGTGGCCTCAAGACTGCAAAGGGCCCTCACCTGGGTGATGGGTTTATCCGGGAAGAAGGAGTAAGAGGTGGAGGAGCCCGTCAGGATGTCCAACACCAAAGGATTGTCAGGATCGGCCACCATCCTACAGAAGGGAAAGAGAACGCCAACACTGACCCCAAAACCTGGGGTCCCCTAGGGGCTGTTTCTTCACAGGCGTGAACCCTGCTTTCTTAACAGCCAAATACTCAATGCAACAATAGCTCTCCTCTTGGAGCAACAATGAGGTCTGACTCTGAATGTCAGAAATTCTTCACATCTACATCCTCTGGGAAAAGGAATGCCCCCAAATAATTTTTGGGTTGGTTTCCTAACAAAAAAAGTGAGCCCCTCTTCTCCCAGGTTTCTGCTGGCCTCTCCCTGCTCACTCACCCAACACCTCGGAAGAGGATGGGATTTAGAGATGATTTCCCGACAATGGTCGGGGCCTTCAGCAGGTTCTCAGTGTCAGCCACGACGAGCGTATGCTGCAAGAGCAGAGGGAAGACAGGTGGTCGGGAAAAGGGGTCCCCAGGCCAGGGCGTCCCTCCCGGTTCCCTCTTGGTTTCCAGCCTGAGCTTTGCTGTAAGGGCCTGAAACCTGGAAGGTAACAGGCCTGATTACCTGGCCAAGGTCCGAAATGTCATAGTTGTGATGGTCAATGACTGCTGTTTTCTCCTCATCAAACTCGATCCCACACTCACTTCCCAGCTCTCGAAGAGGGTCACCTGCACAGATCCAAGAGATGCCTGGCTGAGCCCTTACAGGAGGGTCCTTGGCCAAGCAGTGCCACCTGCCCCAGTGAGTCGCTCTCCGCTGGTCATCCCTAGAGCCCTGCAGCTTCGCTAGGCCAGCTCGGCCCCAGCTGGGCCCCTGCACAACAGCACGGTCTCCTCTGCCTGCACAGGTCAGAACCTCAACTGACAGAGTAAAAACAACCTAGCTCACTCCCTCCACAAATACACAGTGACCTTGGCTCTGCACAAAAATCCCCCTCTGAAGAAAGTAACTGCCTCAGGCAGACCGGGTCTGGAAAGCCTGGGCTTACAAGGTTCTCTTCCTCACATTACCCAACAAGAAACCCACACTGTATGGTTTAAAAATCTGTCAATACTGAAAATAGTTAAACAGAAGTGGCCAGGTGCTGTTCACTGCTGAAACTGGGTGACAAGTACACTGACTTCAGGACACTGCTCTCCCCCCACTTCTCATTATTTCTGAAAATAATCTGTCGAAGGCTTTGGGGTCTACGCAAGTAGCCGCCTCCTACTTGTCTTTTTGTAGGAGAAGATCACTAAAACAAAACGAACAAGGAAAAAACAAACAGGAGAAAATGAGGTTTCCAGCCCTTAAAGGTTCCACACATCCCTGGTTCTAGTCCCAAGAAAGCGCAGGAGGGAAAAATTGGCTCTGAGTGCCCTCACCCACCCCCTGGCCAACGCCCACCCCGTGAATGCCAGTTTGACAGCTTCCATTTGTAAAGCTCTCCAAACTCCCTGAACAAATGGTGGAAAGCACCAGAACCTCTGGGTCAGACTCACCAATGTCTGAGCTGGCAGCTACCAGGACACTGCCTCCACCGTCAATAAAGGTACTGATGGTCTCCACATTGATGTTGCCTCCAAAATCTGAAAGAAGCACCAGACTCAGTGACAGAAGGTTCCTCTCACTGCTCCTTTGACATCTGTGCAGGGAAGGTAGACTGCAGACCAGCCCCAATCACAGATTAGCGCCCTCAGGAGGCCCAAAACAAGAGGGAAAGTCACCACACAGCGAGCCCTCACTGAGACAATTCTCCATTTTCCCAAAGTGAAGATCCAGAAGTAATGGCTCAAATTCATAAACTTGTAGAAGTATAAATGAACTGGTCAAACACCTCCCAACTATGGTTGTCAAGTAGTTACAAACATTTCAAATTACATATAAAACATACAGTCAGAAATGTTGCATTTTCCACTCAAATTTCAGGAAACAACTTCATTTAAACTCATCACCTGCACCTTTTACATCAGTATCTGTGTCATCACTATATGACACTTTTCGGTGTCACCTAACAGTTTTCCAAAGCCCATCAGTTTCATTTCCATCTAAATTGTCAGAAAGAGACTTTTGAATCTGAGAATGATGCTGTCACTTGACACTAGGAGTCATTCGCCAACATGAGCAGTTTTTGCCCCTATTAACCCTACAGATGTTTGTCTATGACAGCCATAACAGAATTACCTCATATACCACTTTTACTAAAGTGATCATCAAAACAACTCATTAATTTCTAACATTTGTAACTGAGATCATATCCTTTTTTGGTCAATCAGTTCAGCCAGATGACAGCCATGAACATCCAAGCTAGCACTGAGTAGGGCTGCTGCAGACTCAAGATTGTCTTCCCCAAAGTACATGCTGATGTTTAACATCAAATAATGCTTGGTAACCAACTTATTCATTAAAGGAAGATTATTGCTTGTGTGCTGAGAAGAAAAATATATGGGCCATGGTGGGGGGCTCTATTATATAACAGTTGGTCAGGAAGGTGACATTTGCGAAGGTGCTGGAGTGAGCCAGGCAGCATGAGGGTAAGAGTATTCCAGGCATCGAGGACACTGCCTGGTCCCTGAGGTGGGTGAGCGCATCCCAGCAAGGAGCCCAGCATAGCTCAGCTGGAGAGAGCAAAGGGGCAAGCAAAAGCAGACGAGGCCAGGTGAAGAGGGGAACACGGTTCAT